CATTTGCTGAAAAGACTGTCTCCCCCCAGTTATTGTTTTGGCACCCTTGCCAGTAGTCATTCGACTGTGAATGTGAGGGTGTGTTGCTGGGCTCTCAGTCCTGTCCATCTGTCTGTCTGTCCTCTCTGTCCGTAGATCCGCTGCCATGCTGTCTTGATTCCTGAAGCTTTGTGGTGAGTTTTGAATCTGGAAATGGGAATCCCCCAACTGTGTTATCTTTTTCAAGAACGTCTTGGCAATTCTGGATACGCAACAGATGCCTCCCACACTCGCTGCTAGATCGCTTGGTTTCTTTTTTTTTTTGTCTTCTTTGAGTTGGAGTCTCACTCTGTCACCCAGACTGGAGTGCAGTGGCCGCTCCCAGCCACCGCAGCCTCGACCTGCTGGGCTCTGGCGATCCTTCCGCCTCAGCCTTCCAAGTAGCTGGAACTATAGGCGCGCGCTACCACGCCCGGCTAATTTTTTGATTTATTGTAGAGATGAGGTCTCGCCAAGTTGCTTAGGCGGGTCTCGAATCCGCAGGCTCAGGCAATCCACTCACCTCAGCCTCCCAAGGCGCGGGATTACAGGCTGAGCCACCAAGCCCAGCTCGCTTGCTTTCTTGTGTCCCTGATGGATGGCCAGCCCATGTGCGCCTGGCCGGCCTGCATGTGGAAGGGAAAGGTTGCCCTCCCGTCATACCATTGGATCCAGGCAGTTCTGGGAGCCATCTTAGTCCAGGGCGAGGTCTACAAAGTGGGAACTTGCCAGGTTGCATCTGGCCCCCTAAATCAGCCAGTCCCCCCTTCTCCCCCAGTACCCCAACTTTCCTTCCTCTTTCCCCTTGCAGGGTCCGAGTCCGGGTGGTTACAGTCCTGCCTAGACCCACTCCTGGCCAGGATGCAGCGGTTTTCCCTGTGCCTCTGCCATCCTCTCAGGTTCCTGCCCTTCCTGAGCGTGATTCCGTGGCAGGACGGTGTGGGTCGGAGGCTACCTGTCCTGTCGCGTGGCTGGCACGGCAGCCTGGCTTTCCTGGTGGCATCTCCGGTCACCCCCAAGGGTTCTTTATGGACTCAGGAATGTCCCCTGAGCCGCAGGCACAGATTTTGCGGACAGATGAAACCTTTTTCTTCCCTGTGGGGCTTTCAGGCCTTGCCTAAGGACACACAAAAAGGAAGGTTGGGGAGAATGAGGAAAAATTTTCCTGAAAGGTCTCAAGATAAGCTGACCCGCTGCTGGCTGCGTAATACTAAGGGCTCACAGCTTCGACCTTTTTCCAGGGCAGGGCCCCCAGCTGGGAGCTTTTTCCTTTTTTTAATGAATAAAAGTGATAAAACCGGTTCTCACCTAGTCTCCATTGCCTGCAGGGTAGGGGGCAGTCTTTGCGCTGAGATAGACTTAGCCCAGCACCACCAACTGTGCACACTTGCACCTCGCACCCAGCCTCTGTGAACGCAGCTTCCTCGTTGGCTAAACAGGGATACCTCCCCTATGGGATGGTGGGAGAACTCGGGACTCAGTGGGAGTGAAGCATTCCTAGGATCCACAGTAACGCTAGCTACTGGTTAGTGACGTGCTCGTACCAGTCTCCATGTTAGTGTTCAAATGAAAGCAAATGGGGTTAAGGAAAAGATTCCACGATCTCCAGAGCCCTCAGCAGGTCTGTCCTGATCACCTGCTCTGTGCTGAGCCCTATGCTGCTCCTTATGTGTATTTCAGTTCTTTAGGGGTTTGAAAAAGGCCGCTTAACTGTACCCCCTCCATACAGATGCTCAACCAGTTGTAAACTACCAGAGGATTCATCTAGAAGTAAAAATAGAGGATGGCTGGCCATGGTGGCTCACACCTGTAGTCCCAGCACTTTGGGAGGCTGAGGTAGGAGGACTGCTTGGGCTCAGGAATTTGAGACCAGCCTGGGCAACACAGCGAGACCATGTCTCAACAAAAAAAAATTAAAAGTAACTGGGCATGGTGGTACACACCTTTAGTCCCAGCTACTCAGGAGGCTGAGGCAGGAGGATTCCTTCAGCCCAGGAGGTTGAGGCTGTGGTGAGCTGTGGTCGTGCCATTGCACTCCAGCCTGGGCAACAGAGTGAAATCTTGAATTAAAAAATAGCCCGGGATCAGTGGCTCAGCTGTAATCCCAACACTTTGGGAGGCCGAGGTGAGTGGATTGCCTGAGTCCACGGGTTCGAGACCCACCCGTGCAACTTGGCGAGACCTCATCTCTACAATAAATCAAAAATTAGCCAGGTGTGGTAGC